AGGAGCACAGGCAAAGCTAACGCATCCTGAGCTCGGCTCCAAACAGGCAGGCAAAAGTCTTCACCCCAGGCGGGACTTGCACCTGCATCTCACGCTTTCCGGGCCATTGCTATACGTTACGCCACTGGGACCGCCTCTTACGCTCTCATCCCAGCTCAATTTGTATCTGTCATAAAGGCAACATCGGAAGGAGTGGTACCTTTTTAAGATCCTCTTTCCTGTTCTCAGGGTAAACGTGGAAAGCTGTAGGTCCGTCCAAACGTTTTTCAGTTTCTCTTCGCTGTTTCGCAGACATTTTCTTCGACAACTCTTCGGCCAATATCCGTTGTCTCTCGGCTACAGCGTTAAAAAGCTGTACAACACCTCTGCAATCGAACGAAGCTGTGAGTGAATGGTTTCAGTTTTTTCAACTAGCGATGTTCTTGAGCACAAATTACAAACTTTGTGGCGATTTTCTTCAATAACCGCTCCTTTTCTCGATTTGTTGTCACGTCAGGCCGTACGAGCCCAAGAAGTTTCCTCTGTTGCGTCAATTTCCTCTTCTCACTTAATTGGCTTTTAGTAAGTTTCTTCTTCTTTCTCAACACATGCCGCTGAAAGAAGGTAGCTATGTAGCGTATATATGTACTAAAACAGTAACAGAATGCAGAGGGATACCTTTTTCGCTTTTTCTGAGGGTTCTGAATGAAGCGCTACCGTATCCGCCAGCACTGCTTTGAAGTTGCGGCCATGAGGTTGTTCGTCTTCGGAGTCTGAAACCGACCGAGTCTTCAGTTTCAAACGTTTATGAAGGTAGATAACCACACTTCTCTCGGAAACAGGAAAGCGCTTTCATACTTCGCGATCTAGCCGTTCTGATCGCGCGACCAAATTGTCCACGTGATTCTGGGCAAGACGCGAAATATGAACGCACTCGAAGTGGTGCGACTACGCCCAGAAGAAATACGAATGCAGTTTATGGAACGTTCTGGGAACAGTTCTTGTAGCAAAAGTTCCACTTCACTGCGATTATAAGGACCAGCTATAGCACAACAGTCATCGAGCAGGGATTAAGAAGTGGCCCTAGTGGCGTAATGGATATCGCACTCGCCAGGAAAGCTTGAGGTGCGAGCTCGAGCCTCGTCTGAGGTCAAGGCTTTTGCCCATAACTCGGCGTTCTCGCAACAACTCTCGGAGTGCGAAACAACAGCGGTTATCACAAAAAAGCAGCTGCGACTGTATGTTTCCTACTACAAGTTTACAGCAGAAACCCATACTTGTTAGGCGCAGTTCGGCTCAGGAGGAGCATTAGTAAATTGCTTTCAAAATGCTGGGCTATTTTTGCGATGATTCCTGAACTGTTGCCGGGCACCTCATGAACCTACAAAATGCCACAGCATTTATTCCAAGTCTTTTCTTTTTTGCTTAATCTTGGACTGAACGTCATTTAGCGCTGGAAGGTGGGAATGAAATGACTGTGAACAAATGACATGAGCATTTTCGCCTCAACTTGAGGGATCGAGCTTGTACAAAAAGTGGTTTAGAAGTTAATCGTGAGATTTAACTGTGCAAGGTTTACAGGACTTCGCGAAAATTTTCTACTATTCCAATCCTCCTACCCCCACCGATGCCGAACAGCGGCGCTTCGCCGTTTCTCTTCTATGTGTCATGAATTCCTGTTCCTTCATCAAACTTCATATCTAACCTGTTGATGTTTACCCAACCCCAGATGATTTAAAAGAGGTCTAGCGATTAGCGATGTAGCGCTTTTGGTCTCAGAATGAGAAAGTGCGTTGATCAATTCGTGAAATATGGACAGACACTAACTTCTGGTGTTCAAAGGTGACTGACCCTATCAAAAGTTTAGTGACCATATA